CTTACACACACACACACACGAAAAAAAAAAAAAAAGACAAACCCTCAACATGCAAAGAGCGCGTGTGCGTTTTCAATCAGCACTAGGCATGCTCCTGGTCCGAGTCTGGGCCCTCATCAACCAACAAGTGCCCAAAGTCATCCTCATCACCGCTCTCATCATCATCGCCACTCTCATCATCCTCATCAGCATCGTCGTCTTCGTCAGCAGCATCCTCCAGCACCGCCACTGCAGCACCACCACTGCTCTCCTTTCCTTGCTGCTGCTGCTGCTGCTGCTGCTGCTTCGCCTCGTCGTCGTTGTTCTCCTCCTCTTCTTCTGCTCCTTCGTCCACCTTGTCTGCGCCCTGCCGCTTGTCCTTGGTCTGCTGCGACAGGAAGGAAAACAGGCCCGATTGCGGCAAGGCAGCCGTCTGCGCTGATGTATCGCCGCCAGCGTTCGTTTCACCTTCATCCTCGTGCTCTTGTGCGCTCTCTAGTGAACCTTGCCCCGCGCTCCTTGGTGCTTCTTGCTCTTCCGCAGGGGTTTCGTCAACTGCGCGCCCTTGCTTGTCAGCTCCCTGCCCCTGCTGCGCCTGCTGCGCCTGCTGCGCCTGCTGCGCCTGCTGCGCCTGCTGCGCCTGCTGCGCCTGCTGCATGCGAGCGCGCTTGGGCGGTTGGTCGCCACTGTCCTCTTCTTCCGCCACGGTGGTCTCGCCGTGCGTCACTTCGAATGCCGTCGTCGCCGCTGCTGTGCTTGTTGTGGAGGTGGTCGCTGTTGTCACCGTCACAGAGGCAGCCATCACGCCGAGGTGGCGCTGGTGTGTGATGTCGTCCTTCGCCACCCCATGATCACCGTCAGCGGTCTTGTGACCAGCGTCACCACCGCGATCGTCAACAGCGTCTCTTTCATCGTCGTCACTGCCATCGCTCATTGCCTGGACATGCTCTACCATGCGTGCTGTGGCTTCAGTGTCGTCGTGCCACGCCACAAGGTCAGCGTCGTTCTCGGCATCCCCGCGCGCAACAGCGCGGCCGTGTGCAATCACGAGCGGTTTGCGGACAGCAGGGTGGCGTGGGCGAAGCACAGCATCCGTTGACGCCAGCCCACGTAGGCACGCAGCAACCACCTGCAACATGCAACCACCACACAACATGTGAGCGAGCGAGCGAGCGAGTGAGTGAGTGAGTGAGTGAGTGTGTGTGTGTGAGTGTGTGTGTGAGTGAATGAGTGAGTGAGTGAGTGAGTGAGTGAATGAGTGAGTGAGTGAGTGAGTGGGTGGGTGGGTGAGTGAGTGAGTGAGTGAGTGAGTGAGTGAGTGAGTGAGTGAGTGAGTGAGTGTGTGTGTATGTGTGTTGAGAGGCAAGGGAAGAGGATGTTGTTGCCGTTGGCGTGGGGGGGGGGGGAACTCAGCAAAGAAGTTGATGCGACAGGGCAATCAAGCAGCCGAAGCAATTACGGTGTCGTGCATTACAGTGCGCAATGTCAGTGTCCACAACGCAGTCCACACACTCTGGTGCAGTGTCGTGCATGCCGCGTCAACGCAGCGGTGGCTCATGTGGCAGAATCCGCTGTGTGTTGTGCGCGTGTGC